GTTGCACAGCCCTGGAGCCGGACCCTTCAGACCCGACTTTTGTGGCTCTGGAGTCCACACTTGCAGTGGAATCCGCTTGTGGTGGGGTCACACGCTTGGACCTAGACCCTTGGGTCCTGACTTTTGTGGGTCTGGAGTCCACACTTGCAGTGGAATCCGCTGCTGGTGGTTTCACACGCTTGGATCTGGACCTTGTTGATCCATCGAGGTTGGTCACGGGCTTTGCCAAGTCTGAACGCAAGGACCTGCTTGCCTTGCTGGCAGCCGTAGAAGCTGGTTTGTTCGGAAAATCTTCCACGTCTGTCAGTTGGAGGAATTTGCCTTCTTGGTCAGCTTGTAGGCTTGCAGATGTGTCCGGCCTTGTGAATCCAAAGGTCTTGAACGCTGAGACAATTGCATCCCTTTGCTCTTGCAAATAGATTCCGATCAAGCCCAGCGCTTGTAGGAGCAACAACTTTTGAACCCAACCTGATGGGCTTGCCATGCTGTCATCAAAAACTGATGAACCTTGAGCCCAGGAGCAAGTGGAACAGTGAACGAGCTGCAGGTGGCCTTGGCTCCCATACGCAGCAACAAACAATGACCGACTTTTTGTTTGAACACCTTGTGCTTGTGCACGGCACTCTGTGAATATGGCCCTGAAATCCACAAAAGCAGTGAGACTGTGACTTGGTGCGGTGAGTGAGCAGCCCATCACACCCAAGGTAAACCACAAAATTGGTGATTCCAATGATTCTTGAATTCTATAGTTACAAATCCCCCCATGTCCCTGTTACCAAGTGCCTGCTTCTCACTATGCTTCGCTCTCAGCCCTCTCCACCTGGGCGAGGGGGGCACTCAATGACTGTGTCAACACGGCCATTGTTTAAATCAAACCAACAGGGAACATCGTCTGGGTTCACCCCATTCAGAAACTTGTCAAACAGAACAACTATGGGTCTACCACTTCTTGGATCTTAGGATCTGCTGACTCGTCATCGACTCCGACCGGTCCACGGCGAGCCATTCCGAGTCCTGTCTGACTGGATGGTGCTTCCCACCCAGAAGAATCAGGGCTTCAACCGGATCTGGCTGGAGCACAAAACGCACCACAAGATTTGGGCCGCTGTTTTTCTTGACATTCCAAGTTGATACCCTGCAACACTCAAATGTGCCCCAAAGCCTCAGCCACCCAAAGTACCTCTGAGGAGGTACGACATTGGGAATAGGTAGCAAAACCTATGCAGTTGAGACATCTGAGCCCAAGTCACACCGCAACTCCAAACATGAGATTGGTTCGCAAATCTTTGATTGAACAAATTTGACTCTCAATTCAAGATGTTTGATTTGTGATGTGTAGGCTGAAATGTCTAGTTGGTGATTTCCAGATATTTCCAGCAAACCCGGATTGGAATCTATTCTAAACTCCTTTGTTTGACCTGTAGACTTGGAGCTCGAGTGCAGACGACACCGACTGGTTCGCTCCGCTGCGCCGGCAAGACTTTGACTTCTCTCTCTCAGGTGCTTGGAGCCCCAGCGATCCGTCGATCCTGGTCGGTGACGGGTTCCTCTATTCGCTCCTCTGTGGCCGAAGAGCTTTTTCAACCCACTCGGAGGTTTGGTGTGATGCGCTCCAGCCGGAGCAGGAAGCTCACCAAAACCATATATAGTACCATATATATATAATTATGTGCAATAACAGGCCGGAGGAGGTGCAACATATCATATGGTGCAACCCACCTCATCAACGGTCCGCACGTGCAGCTAAAATGGGAATCGCCCAAGTTCGAACCCCAGCCTCGGCAATGTTCTTTGCCTCGTTGCCGCTACATAGTGTTTGTTTGTGTGTGTGAAGTGCGCACACCACAGTAAATGGCTGGAGAAATCCTACTCCCTAATGAATTGCAAGTTCAGGGGAAAACGGTATTTTTCAAAACCATAGGTCGTTTATTCGGTGACGGTGGTGACACCATTAATCCTTGCGCAATTTCTTAAATAAACGTTGAATGTAAATTAAATGAATTCACTCTATGGGGACTCGACTTAGGAAGTCAAAAAATATGTCAAGCTCAGGTATGGTTAATTGTGGTTGTATAATGTTATATAGATCACCCCACTCAAGTGATCAAGTAAGGAAGCTCCGCTTGTTGAACCCCAATAATGAAATATGATGAAATATGTCACATCACCTTGGTTTTGTAATGCCGTCCTAGTTCCACATGGTCATACTGCATGCTGCGGTGTGTATAGAGGTGTCCCCAAAAGGTTGATGCCAGTTTCTGTGGAAAATATGGGTTAAACATGCTTCTGTCCTTCTACCTTTGCCGTAAACACTCCCCCAACGAGATTCTCCGGTTCTCCACTTTTCCCGACTGTCCTTGCGTCAGACGAACGGCACGCCGCACGCAGCTGCTTTGCCCCACATGCGCCGGAACCCCGCATACTTCACTTTCCCGGAAGAAAGGCTGCATGCACATGTCGCTCCCTTTTTGGCTGCCAACGGCTGCTGCCTAACATGCCGTGCTCATCTCTGACCGCCCCTGGATGGGCAACTCCTCTACAAGAGGTGGTTCCTTGCCCCCCAGTGAGAAAATCCATGAGTAGCTGTTTCCTTTTCAACTTCACAGTAGTTAATTGCAGTTGAGGCGGCTCGAAATGAAGGCTAAATGTAGGGTGTGTGGAGAAAGGGGGTCAGCAAAAATGGCTTATACGAAGTTAGTGCATCAAAAATACCTTCCACGAAGTTCTGAGAAGGTTTGTGGGTTTTTTGTTACAGTCAGTTTTCCTACTGGCCACCATTCCAGGAAACGTCCACGAATGGCCCCGGGTTCCACGAATTTCCTGGACCGGAATAGGTTCTTGCAAAACTCTTTCTGTGCACCCTTCCAATTGCTGACGAAAGCTCACATAGAACCGGAAAAGGGATGTCTCGATGCAACGGGCTGTTGAATCCCCAACTCTGTCCGCGAAAACCATCCAGCCATCCACTCGCCACCAGCACCACCCTGCAACTCACACCAGACCGAACATGTATCATGTGAATTGTTCTTCCCCTGCCAACAGGTGTAAACAGCAACATCAAGCCCGAGTCTGGCTGCCAAAGGTCACTACTTTTCCGGGTGCAAAGAACAGCTTCGGGGTGCACAATCGGGGACATCATGGAGGAATCAGCAATCTAATCTTAATATACGATCTCACCACCCTCATACACTTCAAAACCAAGGCGCCATAGACTGAAACGCCTTTGGTCAAAGGCCTTGATCTTAATTGAGGACCCCGAGAAGCCCCACAGGGGTCGGCCAGAAAAGGGGACCATTCACGTTGCAACTTCGGCAAAGTGAGACGAATGGAAGGCAATGCGGTGATTCACTCTTGCATCGCCCACCTAAACAAAGGAACTGGCCGGCTTGCCTCTGGCCTCCCCTCCCCAAACTTGAAAGAGACTTCCTCAAAGCTACCACGTTGATGCTTGTTGTTTTCCTTGGGATTGAAAGCTCCCTTGCACACATAACCGTGCGACACATGTCCTTTGGAGCCCTGAACACATGACATTTCTCCAGGCGGCACCCCCAAAAAGGCATCCACTGAATATCCACTTTGTGTGCTGAGGTCTTGAACCAAAAATAAACGGAAACACAAAAGCAATGGAAACACCAGCAAACGGCCTGCAAGGAGCCTGCAAGGTGATTCCAAATGTTCCCCCTATTTTTTGGATGTATCAAGCTGCAAAAACCAGCAATCGGAGGTAGGGAAATTGGATGGCTGGACAGCCACAACAACCCTATTCACCAAACTGGCTTTGCTCTTTGCCTTCGCCAGGATAGAAATCTGGAGTGCCCTGGGTTCTGCTTATATACCCAAAAGAAGAGCTGACTCGAGCAAGTCCTTCCCCCTTGTCATGAAATAATGGACTTGCTGGGTCAAGATTTCTTTGGGGATTTGACTCGGTGAGAACTTGCTCTTGCGGCAAATGCCTCTTTGGCTGCAACACCAAGAACTTAACAGGTTGTAGAAATTTGTAGAAATCTACCCAATTCTACCCATCCACTGGGCAAAAACCAAACGCCAAACTAACGAAACTAACACCATCTTCACTTTAACAAGAAGACTCTGCGCAAACATCACGATACAAACACCACGCCAAGCTGACGTCCAACGACGCTGTGTCAAAGAGTCATTGGGTTTGTGTCATTGGGCGACCTTGTCATCACTTTTTGGTGCGGTTCGTTGATGTATCGTCTTGTTATAGAGGTTTGCCCAAGGACATGTAAGCTGTAGTCTCCAGGGCCATGATAGAACTTCAAAGCTGCAGGTGGAGTTGCCCTCGATGAAGCTGCTGGTGGCTATCAAGAAAATCCTATTGGCTTCTATGCTAGTTGGCCCTGGTCCTGCAGGTGCAGGTGCTTGAGATGCAGGGCTTTGAGTTGGAAGTAGCTGGGAGATCTCTTCCCTGCGAGAGGGCTTTTAGCGAGATGTTCCCAAATAGGCCCTGAACGGGTGTTGATTCAATCGCCCAAACTTACTGCACTTGACAAAACAAACAACAACTACCTACCTAACTACACATTTATGCCCATGCACATGCACGTGTTAGGGTCAGCCTCTTATGATCTACCTAGAGTGCTCTTGTTCTCCGTGGCCTGTCACTACAAAACAAACTGTTCAATAACAATACTATTCCTACTTGAAGAGTGCAACGTGGGGCCTCCTGTCATTAAGTGTTTGGAGAACCAACCACAAGCCGCAAAAGGCTGATGCAACCCTTTCATGTGGGCCGTTGGGAACCAACTGCTTCTGGCCAAAAAAAAAGGGAAACAAGCGTGAGACACGCCGGCTCTCATGGGAGACATCAAGTCATCCTCATCTTATGACGAAGGTCCAACATACCCTCGTCGTCTGGTTTTGGATTTGCCCGTGCAGCCTGAAACAAGTGCAATTACATGTAGCTGTCTTGTTTTAGATCTTGCTTCATGTGGAGATGGAGATGACAAGAATGATGAAGCTATGATCCACACAGGTCAAATCCAGATTGTTGTAGCTGCATGTCTCGTGAGAAGCTCATCCAAGTTCTTGGGCTCCTGTTGAGGATCTATTCCACCTCCTTTCGTAGTGTCACAGGATCCATGCCACAAAATCTCGTCAAAATTTCAGTCTCAGTGTTACAACCACCGCCTAGAGGTTCGACAAAACACCCATGCCATACACTAACTTAACTTACCCTCAGCTTTTTGGGACAATAGAGGTTAACCTTTCATCACCGGTTCTTGCTTGGCAGGGAAACCAATCCCCATGAAAGGTTAAAAGGTTATCCACTGGCTGGGTAGGTAGAATCTAATAGCTAAACTGCCTATCATCGCGATGATCCTATGATGGCATGCCGCTTGCGGCCTTTTAGGGCCATTGGCTGTATACAGATCCATTGGCAGCCCTTGCCCAGTGGTTTTTAAAATCGATGAGCCTCAGCCTCACTGCAGTTAATTCCACCAGGTCCATCCAAGTGCTTTAAGGATCTTTCAGCTTCCTGAAAATCATGGGGATTCGGATGGGTTATGGCAGTGCAGTGTGACTGGATTGTTCTTCTCTTGGAAGGTTCCTGAAGGTTCCCCCCAAAAAAGCAGCCATGAAACCTCTTGATGCTGTTCACAAAAAAAAAATTGGCTCTACATGGCAAAGGCTGTATACAGCTGCCCTGCCTCCCCGTGCATTTCAGCAATAATAAATACACATAATCATAACAGCAACAATAACTAACAAGTTATCATCATTTTAATACACACATGCACATAAACATATATATATATTAATACACACACATACACACATGTATATACCCCGCACTTCCTCCCCCAAAAAACATAAACACACGAACGTCTGTAGGCCAGCCAGCCAACGTAGGCTTTCTAGGTCTCGTCGCTTTGTTTCACTTCTGGCACGCTTGGCTTGAACCAGGTCAGTGCTACGCTTTCTGAAAACGGGAAAAGGTGAGGCCTCGTCACACCGACGCCGCAGGCAGGGTGGGACACGTACTGGGCACCGGGCCCCCCGCATGTGCCCAAGCTTTAAAAAAACATGTCATGTTTGAAGAAAAGCAACCTAAGAGCGATGGCCTCCAACCAACTCCAACCTAATAGCGATGGCCACCAACCTGCTAGCAATGGCCTCCAACCTAAGAGCGATGTCCTCCAACCCAAGTGTAATTTGGTATTCCCATGATGCACATCCAACATCATGTCCACACTCATCCACACTGTTTGTGCTGTTCAATGGTGCGTCGGGATGGCTCGACATATTAAAATAGAGTTTCCGTCACTGTCACTGTCGTTGCTGATATTAGTGAACCAATGAAGCAAAGCGGTCAAATGTACTGGGCCAAGGATGTGAATATATATATATATATATTATATGTGCGGAACTGGTAGCAGCAAATACCCAACAACTCAATGTCAATGTAGGTCACAATCAACAACCGGTCCTAGGTCACTAGACCTCACGACATAGCGGCACGCGCCTTTTCCGATCAAGCCGAACAACGGCTCAAGGCCTTCAGCCAATATGGCCACGTGAGGACACCTGACAAGAAATGCACTCCAAGGGCAATTTCACACGCCCTCTGTCCGAGAGGGGCTTTCAATGCAGCTTCGAATCCTTCACATCTGTCGTTCAAAGCCGACAAGGGAGCTTGCCTTGGAAGCGGTCCAGCGAATGCGCAACAGGAATCGAGCAAGGTCGGTGGCCTGATTCTTCACGGGTCCACTCTTTTCTTTTCCATAGGTCTTCACAATCCAGCTCAAATATCCATGGACCTTCTTGTCCGACTTGGCCTCCTCCACAATCTGACGGTACCGCCAGTTGCGGTCAGCATAGGCTTCCATCTTCACGATGGTCTTTCCCCATGTTCCAACATCATGCACATCAGCTGGTAGCTCGACCGACATGTCTTCATCTTCGACTGAGGTCTCCGGCATGCGAAGGGCTCCACTTGACGTGGGCATGGGAACAGAGGCACTTGGTCCATCATGGTATGCACGGGCACTCGTCAACGACACTTCATTCCATGCCAATGATGGGCTTGTGGATTCTGCATCCTCCAGTAAGCTGAAATCGAGCGGGCGCTTCACGGACTCGCTCATGGTTCCACCATATCCTTGGTAGATCCGGGTCTTCTCCATCATCCAAGCTTCAGCACGGGGATCCAGTGATCCAACAATCAAGAACATCTGGTTCTGTTGACCGTTCATGATGGCTCCAGTGGTCAGCCTTGCTGCTGTGTCGATTTCATCGGCACTCAAAGGCGGGTACATCTCTTGACGACGTACCTTCTTAGCATCCATTGCATGGCTGCTCATGGCTATGGCGCTAACAAAGGAAAATCACACGGCTTGAGTCTCGCCTTCTGGCGACGGCAAAAAAAAACAAATGAATTCTCTCCTTCCATCTCTTTTGGTCTTTTTGATGGAAGCACCATGGCACTCACTGAGGTTCAAGACGTTTCGACAAAAATGACTTGGTCATGTTCGAATCTAAGTCTCCGGTGGACACCCCAGCATCTAGCTACAAAAAGGGAAAAACATGCACAGCTTTGTGGCTATTCCGAATCTTGCTCGGTTTGACCTGCTCGCTCTTCAGCAAGTTCCTTGCGACCTGACACCTTACATTTCTTAATATGGTATGTGTTGGTTTCAAGCAAATCGAACAGTGGCTTGCTTTCACCCTTAAGTTTGGTCAAACAATCTGCACACATGTACCGATTATTTATCCATATCACCCAAATATTTTGTTTCTTCATGCTCTCACGGGCGATGGCATAATCTATTTGCAAACGCTCCTCGGCACTTGTGGTAGATGAACCACTGGTTTTATTGCATGCATCATAAAATCCTTTTGAGTCAATCACCAAACACGACGGTTCGTCCGGTGTGATTTCACGAAACTCTCGAGGTGTTACTCCCTTCAATGTTTCAAGAATCAATGCTTGCAAAAACTCAATGGAATCTAAACCATTTTGACCAGCTAAGGTCTCAGCTGCAACACTTGAACGAATAGCTCGCTTGAGCTTTTTGCTTGCCCAATCGATCAACCATACAGGCGCTTGCTCTCTGGCCAGCATCTTCGGATAATTTGTGAGGCAAAGAAGGAAGCCTCCCTGGGAATCTCCATTAGCACGTTTCTTCCAACCAGCATCGCTGATGCACAGTATTCTCCACTGGTCTATAGGAATATTGCTTGGAAATCTTAAGACTAGCTTTCTTTCCTTCATTTCACGAAGTGCTTTATTATACATCTCTACATGTGCCACAGTGCCTTGGGACTGGACTCCCTGCAGATAAGACGCTAGAAACGCCTGATCAGGACGAGTGGCACCAGCGGCCCATGCCAGCTGTCCGGCACACTGTCTAAGAATCGATGGATCCTTCAGAGGTGTACTGGCCTTACCAAGTTCTTTGGTACTTACGGGCTTCAAACCATCTATATAATAGGCCTCTTGTCCAATTTCTATTGCATACGTGGCAGGGTTTTGCCGAATTTCTATGCCAGTGTAACGAATTGTAAAGGTTCGGTAATCACCAAAAGGTAGCTTCTTCCTTAATTCGGTTAACACTGCATCCATTTCGGGGGTTCCTCCACCTAGCAAATCGTCGACGTGCACTCCACACACACCGATGAGTTCGTTCTTGCTATTGCGAAGTGTGAACAGGCAGGGATCTAGTTGGGATACCTTCAGACCTGCTGACACAAGTTCGCGGCTCAGACGCAAAAACCAAGCTCTGGGTGCTTCGGCTAACCCATAGGCAGCCTTTTCTAGTTTGAAGAGGTCCTCATCTGTGAGATCCATCCACTCTTTGATCTGAGGAGGCGGGCGGAAATACAGCTCTCGATCGGAAGGGTCTCCGGAAAGAAACGCTGTTTTGATATCTGCTCCCCAAAGTTTCCACTTTTTGGCGGCGCAAATGGATAACACCAGGTTTTTGGACTTTTTCTTCAAAGTAGGTGAGTCTGTAGCTATTTGGCCCAAACACGGATCTTGCCATCCCACGAGTACCAATCTAGCTTTGGGGGTTTTTGATCTATCATCGGGGTCGGATGACTTTTTCCAAACCAATACCCAACGAGCACGAATGATTTTCTCTCGTGGAATTCCCCTTGATTTGCAAAGAGAGGTGGCCCTGTTGTCGATCCATGACTGCCATTCTTTTTGCATGGCTTTATCGAAGAGTTTCTTATCTTCTGGACTCAGTTTACGATAGTTCACCTCGACGCGACGTTGTTTTGCCTTTGTTTCAGCCACAAGAAAACATTCTTCAAGTATGTTCCACAAAAACAAATGGTTATCCGTGATGTCATCAGGTGTGATGTTTAAAGAAACTTCCAAGATTTCCTCATGCTTTGGCACTCTGGACGGTTTATAGTGAGTCACTTCCTCTGCTATCAGTTCATCATCGTCATCATCTATTGGGATAGGACTATTCTGGGCTAATTCTAGGTTACGGGTGGCTTCCTCTGCAGACGGCAGATGTGATTCTTGGCTTTGCTCTGCGGGATTGCCATCCTGATCGAGATCATCTGCATTCTGGCTATCAGAGGCTTCGGCATCTGTGCGATCAGTGTGATCAGACATCGGCTCATCCGCGGATTGATGGACTGGCGAACCCAGGCTCGATGGCTCATATTCGATTTCTTCTGCTTCACTGTTGACAGTCACATGTCTTTTTGCACTGGGTTCGTCCTCTGGGTCCAGGCTATCACGATCATGTTTCATGCCTACAATCACTGGTTGTTCTCCTTCATGAAGGGCTCCTAGAGGTGGTGCGCCCTCTGACCTACGAATCCAATACTCCTGGGACCTATCATACCTACGACGGATCTTGCGGGGTCCGCCCTCTTCGTCATAATCCGGGGTTTGATGATCTATATATGGGTTCTTCGAGTCTATCTTCTTCAAGATCGAAGTCCTCGGGTCCAGGAAGATCGGTGGTCAGATCCTTCCACAGTCCATTGCGACTTGACAGAGACTGTTCTGCTTGCTCGACATCCGGCTCGAGGCGACCTTCAGAAAGATCACGAGCAAGCCTACGAAACTCTGCTTCGTCTTCAGGAACTGGCCTAAGTCCTTCTGGTGAACATCGATACAAATACCCATTGAAGCTAACCCACACTATTCGAGGTATTGGGCTATTCTTGGAGCTTTCCGTTCCAATGACTCTACCTGGTCCTAGCCATACCCCATGACGTGTAGACAGAAGGCCTCTGGCAGTTCTACGAAAGATGTACACCAGCTGTCCAGCACAATATGGTCCTCGCATCGGTCGGTTGCGACCTGCTAAGGCACGTCTCCAGATATCTTTAGCATGTTCTTTGTGAAAAGCTTCACATGTGGCTTCTCTCAAACGAACTTTTGCATAGAAGTCGGGATCTTCGATGATTTGGGATGCTACCGCGATGTTTTGTTGTTCATCCAGATCCATCAACATGCCTACGTGCCGGCTGTCCTGACCGAGAAACCATTGCGCTGGTGAGAATCCACATCTACGAAGCTGTTCATTACGAACACTACTACAGGTCTCTATGACTTCCCGGGCTGGTCTTCTAGTCGTCTTCCACACTTTTTTGTGCCATATTTCGAAGCACTTTATTGGTGACCTCGACCAATCCAAGTTGCCAGTGAGACTCGGCGGCGGCCAACAGCAACTGTATGTTGTTCTGCGCAAGATATTCTTGAAATTCCTTACTGATGTTGGACCAGGTGGGATCCATGTACACAACTTTTGGAACTCCATATGGTCTTCCCCAAACATCATGGAAAGCTGAACGAAGCTTGTAACCTTTCTCAACAATGATTTGTTGCGCAAACCCTGTGGCAAGACATACACATGTCAGAACATTGTACTTATCTTCAATGACCTGTCCATTACTATCTTCACGTTTCAGTTCAACCTGGACATAGTCAACTCCTACAATCTCATTGGGCTTTTCTGCATGTGGCATAGTGGCTGGCCTCCTAGTCACTGGGACCTTGAGCTCTTCGCAGACTGGACATTTGAAATCGCGAATGGCTCGCTGCAGCTCTTGGGATGACTGACATCGCTTGGCAAGTCGAAGCATCTGTTCTGGAGATGCATGGCCAGTGTTTATGTGCAGCTTATTCACAATTGCTTTATTCTTGCAGGACGTTGTCTGGCTGGCACAACAACTGGGCTCCCAAGGTCTGGGGCGACATCTCCGATTGGTTGCATCTCGACATCCGAATCGGCATCCTCTGCAGCAAACACATCCTCTATCGGAGGTCTTACAGGCTGCCAGGCACTTAGCACGCTTGCAACAGTTCTGCAAAACTTGGATGGGTATGTTTCACACCAGGAGGAAAGATTACGACCCTTGTAGTTCCCTTCAAGGTGGGCATGGGTGTGTTTGTGATCACACCTGCATTTCACCAAACATTCTGCCATTTCATCCATAGTTGTGATTACGCGGGTTGGTTTCAGCACAGGCATATTAGTTTTGGGACATCTCATACCCAGGCTGCACATGTCTATTCGTACATCATGCACCCTACCCAAACTCAGTTGCCCCCATGCTTCCGATGTGTACGGGTTTTCAGCATGACAGTGCCCTCCCAACAATTGTTGCAAATGCCAGGCTTCAGACACCGCTCGGAGGTGCCGTTTGGCGGTCTGCCTCTTCTGCAAAATCCTATCTCGCTGCTCAGGTCCTTTTGCCATGTTGAACCGACTCCATGGTCCCCAACATCCACATGGAAACGAAAACCAAACATGCGGCGCACGAACGGTTGCCAACAAGTACAAAAGCATTTTTCGGTCAGTGAGTCTATCAAAGTCCTGTCCATAGTCCCAACCTAATGTAATGCATGGTTTATTTGTGGCTTGGTGCACATGTTTCGAAAGAGGTGCCTCCCCAGTGAACACTTCAATCATCGAAACATCGGCATCAAGTTTCCAAGCTTGATCTTTCAACCAATCCCTCAGTTCTTCTTTTATGACATGTTTCTCCTGGGACATACGTGATAAGATCAGTTTGGCATTGACCTGACGCAGTGAACCGACGGGGTTATTTCAAGGATTCCGTCGAAAGGATTGCAACAGCTCTTAGATACGGCTGGTGCATTGCATCTTCCGGAATACGCTCTAGTCGAGGCCTATAGGCAACGAAACACTGTTTGCACTCATGAGCTCTATCCCCAAACACTATTTTCAGTTCTTCGTGAAAACGACGCATGTTCACGATACCTTGCCTAGTGTTTTTCACAATGCGTTGCAAAGCTTTCTTTCGGCTCAAGATTCTATCTCTAGATGACGTTTTTAACTGTTCCTTTTGTTTAGGCTCTTCACTGTGCCTTGCGGATGGTGCACATGGTGCATTGGGCTCATTGATAACCTGACTCATGGCTGTCAGGCTTGGCTTTGATGGCACGGGCGTGCCGGCGACGGCAGCTTCCTCTGATGGCACGGTCGTGCCTGCAAAGGCAGCTTCCTCCGCTTGGTATTCCGAGGGAATTCACAGATCGGCAGCAACTTAATGGCCATTGGCGGCACGCTTGAGAGGTACTGCGGACATGTGATGCTTCTCACTCGAAATGGTTCCGGCACCAAGATCAAGAGTTGCTTGCATTCCTTCAAGCACACGGCGTGAGAGCAAAAACGGTGTTCGGCCCTCGATGACATATGTTGTCACTGTGCCCCACAGAGATCCCAGTTTGACTGTCCACTTCAGACCTGAGGTGGTTGTGGTCTTTTCTCCAGAAAAAACCCCGGAGCTCTACTGGCGGCAATTCAACATCAACAGGCAAGGGAAAACCATATTGCTTCATCATGGCTGTTAACTCTTGTGCTGTTTCCCGACCAACAACTGACGTTGTACAACCTGTATCAATGATCACACAACCCAATGGTATTGATGCTAAAAGAATCTCCAAAGGCTGTCCCTCGTTGATCATGTAGTTGAATTCTGTGACATACCCTGCTTCTGCAAAATTGGCATCCTCGCGTCTCGGACGAACTTCCGGTTTCTTGCGAGGAAAGGCCTTGGGGCCACCTCGACTGTTCTGTCCGGACTTGTCATAACGAAAGGATTGTTTTGCTGGCATCTGCGAAGATGTGCTTGTCCCTGTCCCCGATGGTGGACCTCCTGATTCTGGCTGTATGGCTACCACTGGGAAATAAGGCTGTCTTGCTCTTTTCAACTCTCTCACTTTCTTTCGTGTCTCTTTGTATGTTTTGAACGACTTCTTGAAGTCCTTTTTGGCCTTTTGTTTGACCTCGTACACTTCCTGCAACTCAGCTTCCAGCTCTGAATCCACGGCTTGTTCATCGCCGTCTCCGTCGGCGACCAACGCTTCTTCTGAACCAGATTCACTGCAGAGTGCGAGCTCTTCTATGTCTTCAAGTCCTGATGAATCTCCTTCTGGAACCACGCCGTCGTGGAGGAGGATGTGGACGACGTGGATCGAAGCGACGGTTCTCCGGATTGGAACGTGACTCTTCCATGTCTGAGGCACGGAGGATCTTCTCCACATCCTGGAACCGAGCTGAGCCACCTGTTGCACGGATCACCTGAGCTTTCTGTTCACGTGAAAGCCCAAACTTCTTCATGAACAAATGCCCCAACACTGTCTGTGGGAAAATAGGCTTCGGCTTGAGGTGACCTTTTTCAATGTTGCCCAGCATTTGTTCCATCTTCAATCGGTCTTTTTCTTCATCAGCAGCTTGAGTACCTTTGGATTCTGCCTTTCTCTTTGAACTTGTCGTTGAAGCCGGCCTGCTTCGTGCAGGCTCCGTGTGTACCTCAGCATCGGCGGGAGGAGGTGGTTCCTCTCGCTCGTGTTCACCCGGTGCTGAGGCCGGTCTTGCGCCTGCAGCTGACGCGGCAGGGCCAGCCGGAGGCTGACGGTGAAGGCTCTCAAAGAAGCGTCCATGAATGTCCTCATCATAGGTTTCTTCATCTGTCGGTTCGACACTGCTCGGAGGATCATGGACAGCATCTTTGGGACCTTTCCCCTGTCGTCTCCGTTTGACCTTGAGCGTCTCACGTTCTTGTGCAATCAAAGTTTGAACACGCGCCAATGCTGTCTTGAAACGCGAAGCAAAACTTGTTGCACCTTCGTGTGGACGTCTTTTGAGGTCAAAGAGAAATGAATCAACAGCATCATGCATTTCTGTCTGAGGCAGAAACTGGTAGTGAGCATCCAACGCACGAATCACCTTTGTCCAGCCATCTTCTTGTCTCAACTCTGAAACATTCAGATGTTCTGTTGCCCTGTAGGCTTCACCAGTGAGGCGAGCGAGGAGGCGAGGTCCAGCTAAGTGCACATGCTTTGATTCCAGGCTTGCGACTGCAAGGATTGTCTTTCTTCTGAACTCGCGGTACGACGCGGGCTTGCCATCAAAGCTCAAAGAGTAGAAGGACTGGTCCTTCGACTCCATTGGATCAGAATGATCCTGTTGGATCAGTGACCTGTGTCACTGCACACTGGCGACCAGGATGGTCGCACCACACCAACAACTGCCAACAACTGTTGTCAACAACTGGTGGTCAACGGTAGCCCCTTGGAGCGGGGCTCCGCTACCATGCGGAACTGGTAGCAGCAAATACCCAACAACTCAATGTCAATGTAGATCACAATCAACTGCAACCGGTCCTAGGTCACTAGACCTCACGACATAGCGGCACGCGCCTTTTCCGATCAAGCCGAACAACGGCTCAAGGCCTTCAGCCAATAATATGGCCACGTGAGGACACCTGACAAGAAATGCACTCCAAGGGCAATTTCACAATATGTTTAACTCGCTCTTCCTATAGCATTGTGAGCGCGGTGGACCTCGTTCGCCCATTTACAGTACTTCTCAAAACTCCCAACACCGATTGACGTGATCTCATTCCGGAAGGAGAAAAATCACGTCGATCCAGGCTGAGGAGCCCGGCGTCATGGCTTCAAGTAGCTCTTGCCTTGGATTCAGGAAAAAAAAGCCTCTAGCCATGATGATCACCTGAAACGCCCCAAACGGCCATTCCTGCAGCAGAAAGTGGGTCAAACTACATTTGCGGCCATCTTCCTCATCTTCATCCTCTTGTAGTTTGACATGTCCCATCTACGTTACCAAATATATATTATATTGACTGGCTCACAACCAGAATTTTTTGAGTTTTTGTTCCAAAGGCGAGTGCTATGCTGACCTCGGCAATAGAAGACGATTGCTGACATCGTCGTCAAACACTCCCTTTAGAAAATAAAGCAAACTGTATATATTTATTGTTTATAAAAACTAATTCATAAATACAAACTCCCCGGAAGATGGAAAATGGCCCTTGGATGACAATTTTACGCTACACCACATCGCACGGCTCTGTCCCGCTCCGTTGCCTCCTTTGGTAATTGCTGGGTACGTAGCGGACCATGAAGATACAATATAAGTAAGTATACAAAGAAAAAACTCAAACGTTTGACTACGAATTGTGACAAAATCAACTAGGCCTAAAACAGGTGATTTTCCACTTCCATGACATGACTAATAGCCCCTAGTTGCGTCCTTGCTCCAAGTAGCGATGTCAGGAGCCCCGAGTAGCGTCCTTGCTCCTAGTAGTAAGGCCAGGAGCCCCTAGTAGCGTCCTTGTTCCTAGTAGTAAGGCCAGGAGCCCCTAGTAGCGTCCTTGTTCCTAGTAGTACTGCCAGGAGCCCCTAGTAGCGTCCTTGTTCCTACTAATAAGGCCAGGAGCCCGTAGTAGCGTCCTTGTTCCTAGTAGTAAGGCCAAGGAGCCCCTAGTAGCGTCCTTGTTCCTAGTAGTAAGGCCAGGAGCCCCTAGTAGCGTCCGTGTTCCTTATTTCACAGAGCGTATGTCTTTGTAGAGGTGTCCCGGGCCGGCCCTCAGGCCATTGGTCTTCCGTGTCCAAATTGGTGGAAGGCAGCTGTGCGAATGTCAGGCTTTCTGCCGGATGGTTTGGTGGAATCGGAGTGTTTAAAGGTGTTTGGATGTGTTGAGTCTTGCAAAAATAGACCTGCCCAAATCCGCAAACTCATCAAACTCTGCGATGAAAAAGGCTGAAGAAAGTCGGACATCCGAAGCCTAAAGGCGCCCCAACACAACAGAAGCACCCAGAAAAGCCTCTTGAAAATCTGGCCCGGAGTAGCTTCAAGTAGAGAGGAAAGGGAAAAAATAACAGAAACAAGAACACTAAGACTAAGAGAGCAAGCGAAATAACTTCTTTGGCACTTCAAGCGGCCGTTTTAAGAACAACAAAGTACTTATATTATATAGACATACGCTGCTTGTAGCATGATCAAACTAATCTATGTCTCATGTTTTGAATGACCATGTTGTACAATGTAAAACTGGCTTCATGCCATGCCTCTAACCCCAAACTCCACAGCTTGTGGTGCTGGGTTCCCCAACGTTCCTCCATTAGCTTTTGGAAGGCATGCTTGGCAGCCTGGCGTGATTCAACCGGGCTGACGGCATGGCCCAAAACGTGGAAGGCGACCGGGTGAGGCGACCGGAAGGAGTCAGGCTGAAGGCACCTGAAAGAGGCACTAGAAAGGGCACTGCGTTCAGACTAGCAAGTGCTATTCTTGGCACTTCTTCATTTGAGTGAATCTGGAGAAACAGGAAATCCACCAACCATCGTCCGATCAAACTTGGATCCAAGTACTGTACTCAACTCCATTCTACGGTAAACATGCAATTCAATGCATCGCTACCGCTAACCCTGGGGATCAAAAGAAAAACCCCAAAAAACTTCTCATAACAGGCCTTTTCTGGTACCCGTGACTGGGGGCCGTTACAAATGCATGGACGCCTGAAGCACCCTCTTGGAGGTCTGCACCGAAGCCCCTGCAGACGTCACAAAAATCATGTTGCCATCACTAATTATTTAGCATATGTTGGCATACATACGCTTTAGGTCAAAATGGATGGAACGTTGACGGCTCGCTTCGTTGAAAAAAAGGGCCTCCTCACAGTGAGTGTTCTTGTCCGGATGCAACTGCCTGCCGGGCATGGATCAACATGATGAACTCTCGTCGGAATCAACGCCACCAAATATCAATGTTGTGGAGATATGACCACCTTTTGTACAAATGCAGCAGCGTAGCCGTGCAATGTGTGCTGAAAAGACATTGTCCCGAATGCCCCCCATCTTGATGGCTGAAAATGAAACCGGCGCTGAAACCTCTGACGAAATCCGCGGATTTCGTCTGTCTGGCGGACGAACACCCTCATACAGCCTTCAACGCCACCCAGAATCCATGGATGGCATCACCCGTCAAAGGACCAATTCGGCCCTCCCGTTTTCTCGGGGCCCATGACCCACGTGACGTCACTGAGTGCCAAAGCTGGATGGCCTGACCTCGTGCACAACCGGGCACAGCATTCAATCGAAGTGACAAATTGCGAGTATATACTTCGAACCAAAGTGAAAAAACACCGCGGAGCAAACCGTGCTTGCATCTTGAACGCCACTTCTTAGCTAGGATAGTGTCCATACAGCTATGTCGCATATAAATATCCAAACATATTCCAAAAAGGTACAGAATGTCCAACCATATTCTAAGCCATAGCCAACCGCGTTCAAGGCTAGCTTCTTGGGTGGAGGTTTTGGGGGGACGCCTGTGCCCACCGCCCCAAGCCACGTCGCCACGGTGCCCCGCCTCTGCAAGTCTCGGAAGATCAACTTCCGCACCTCCGGTCGTCGGAAGAGCACGGAATCTGGTAAAGGAGGTGATGTAGTTACAGGAAAACCCAAAGAAACTTGGGCAACCGAGAAGGCTGGAAACCCTTGGACGGATTTTGCCACTCTGTCATTGTTCTGTCAGTTCCTTTTTTCATGTGTTTTGTCATGTGGGAAATGGCTATTTCATGTTTCTGTAATTTTTGTGTTGCTTGAAATCCTGGGCTCTGAAAGGGCCTGTTATTTTTCTGTCATTAATCTGTCATGTTTCTGTTGTTTGGCCCTGCTATGTTTTCTTTTGTCTTTTTTTGCTACTGTGTGGTACGATTATGCGTTTCAGTATTCATTCCATGAATCTGTGGCTGCCTTGGATTGCCATCCTGTTGGACCCCATCATCTGACGGGGTTCTCACTTCCGATGCCTCGGCAACCTCTTGACTCAACCGCTCTGATTCAACAGCCATCTCGTCCATGGCTTCATCCCACCCCATGATGGGCCAAGAATATTCTAGTATATAGTACAGTATATACCTATGGACCTATGGAAATCAAAACCTACGCATTTGTCGTGTCTGATGGAAATTCATCGTGTTCTCTAGGCATCTGGTTGTCATGTTTGAAGTGTACTCAGTCCCACTGTTGCTCTAGACTCGAGACTAGACTTCTGGTCCCGCGTGGAGTCCACAGGGGGGCCTCCAGCAGGACTCAGCATATTCAATATGTCCCATGAACCAAAATAGATGGGCAAAGCGTTTTGAAGCTGACTTTGTGAGAAGCAGCTGCTAAACACAACAAATGATGCAACAAAAAATATGACTCCAGAAATGTCAGAAACAACAACATACAAAATACAGAAAACAGGAGAGCTCGGAACATGAATGACAGCACAAATGACAAACACATGAAAAAAACACACAACACGAAGCAAATGACACCAGGAAACGAGAATGACAAAACAACTGACAGAACAATGACAAAATACACGTGATCGACCTCAGTCTGAGCCTGCGAGTTCTTTCTAACACCAAACTGTTCACAATGCGTTCACCCCCCCAAAACGATGGCTTTCCTGTGAACCATTACCTCCAACATGAATATAAGAGCCTCTGGACGGAACAAAGGAGAAGCCCCCCCAAACAAACGTCCGTGCTATATGAACCACAAGGAACTTACATGGTCGTAGGTCCAAGTAGAGAAACTCCTGATGTGGTGCAGTGTTGAATCGTTCGGTAGGTCCCCGTTCGTTCGCCCTGGACCCGTTAATGGGATTGATCGCCTGCAGTGGCTCGCCGCAGGTGTGTTGCAATTGCTCCTTCATCTCTGAGACCAGGAGCTCTTTTTGCTTCTCCAAGTCCGCCTCCTCCGAAGGGATAGGTGGATGAATCTGAGAAAAGGATCCCGGTTTTATCGGAATCTCCCAACCAAAACTGAAACAAGCCTTGGACACTTTCAGGCCTGGCAGGGTGCCATCCTGGGCTCTGCCCCCGATGTGTTCGGGGAGTCACCAGAGGCTGCTTGAGGGTTGCCCTCGCAAAAGCAGTGACAGAAGAAACTTTTCGCGTCTTCTCGTACCTTTGTAACAAACACTTGAATGCATTGGGCAACTATTTGCCACAAGCAACTCGTTCCGACGGCTGGTTGCTTCCGAAACGGGTGGACAAAGGAATCAACTGCAAAAAACATAGAAACATATCGTATGATATAATATATATGTACAGTATGCATACATATGCATACTGTATAGTAGAGATATACGGGGTATCAGCTTGCTGCTAAAAATGGCATGTCACCGACCTTATTCTGAGAGCTCTTTCAATGTCTATAAATTTCCGATCCTTCTGACACTACAGAAACCCGATGCCAACCAAACTCATTTCACTCCTGCTTCTTTGGAAACCTCGTGGCTTGAAAGGATGTGGGGTGTCCTGCCTTCCTCCATTACAAATGGAACCATACACATTGTCTTAGCTACAGCATGCTCCATGCTTCATACCTCACTGATGCTTTCTTTGGACTCCATGGCTCAACATCATATTTTCCAAGCACACAGCAATGTTCATGATCAATGTGAACGATCAACGGTTTGTTTGCTTGATCAAGGTCTACCAGCAAATCACATCACTTTCTTCAAGCATGTTCACGCCATGTTCAAAAGATCTTGTCTGTAGCCAAAAGTCAGTTGGATGATATATATATATACACATACTGCGACTTAGGTATAGGTACATGTAACTCAGTGCAACTTCATTCGGAGCAATCGGGCAACAAGTCCTGCTCAAACAACATCGCTGGAGGTGGCTCGCGGCGGCCAAACATCTCGGCGGAAATCCCAGCGCTGGAGAGGTTCAAAGCCAAGAAGTTGGCACTTGGAGGTCACTTGGAGAACACTCATCTACCATGCCGCACCGGCACAAGGTGTTTTTTTCAGACCATCAATCTGGTCCTGAGTCCTAGGTAGGCGAATCGCCCAGTAGAGCGCCCATGAGCGGACACCACTGGTGTCTCATGGCAGATCAATGTGGAGGAGGAATTGGTGGTAATACGCAACACACCGTCCGAAATAACAACACGCATGGCCAGCAAACATCGCAACAGCTACTCCATGGCGAAAACCTAAACTTGAAAACAGGTTACATGATGCTACATGAGCCCTTATACCCCAGCGCAGTCTCACAACTAGGCACCATGCATGGGCCAAGCATCCATCAAGAGTAGGGGACCAATAACAGATCCTGCATACTTACAACATCTTATAACAAACACAAACTCATGCCCAACATATCTCTTGCTGAAATAATTGGTCTCCTAGCATCAGCCTATGAAAGATTCCCCAACCATGCTACCATCATCTACCATCTTCACAAAGCTCTTTGGCGAAGAATCGCTTCAACCGGTCGTATCCTGTTTGCCCTCGTCGTCCCGGCCCATGCGGCAGCAGTGGCAGCTCGCGTCTGGAACCTGCGCGCGGTGTTGGGCTGGGTGCCGGCCATCATTGGGATCCACTTGCCTTTGGGAAGGTGGTGGATATGGGGATGGACCAACACCTGGAGCTGGTTTCACTCTGGTAGGTTGACCTGGCTGGCAGGTCAACCAACGACTCCTTGTTTATGACCCACAGCCATATTGAGGGTGTGGAGGGTGACCCACAGTCAATCCTGCCGTGAGAGGGCCAAAAAGATGATAAAAAAACGTCTATCCTCCCCTCAGGTCAGATCACCCTGGGGCGATTCTTCTGGTCGCAAGCGGATTTGTTAGAGTTGCATAGACTATGCACATGTTTGGGAGTGATCACATTCACCCGGGTGAAAAAACCCTGCAAAATCCTCTGGTTTGTCCTGGTTTCATTGTTCAACCTCGCCAAGAGTGACCTGGTCAAACAAGTCAAGACTAGCTCCACCCCTAGCTATTCATCGAAGCACCTCCAATACCAGGTTTTGATTGAAGAAGGGTCACGAGGATGCAAAAGGTCTCTCTAACTGTCCACGAGGTTGAAACTGCCACTGCACAAACGTCATACAAGCGAAAATCACTTACCTGTCTTGTACCATGACATAACATGGCCAGTTTGTTCCCAGCCTAATCGCTGTTTGTGACCAATTGATCTTCAAGGTCATCGCGGCTGCATGCAGCTGGAGCTACCGGGTGGCGTTCCAGGATGCGACGCCGCGACTATCCCAGTGTGGTACCCCAGACTTTTAATTCTATTTACAAGCTGCTTGTTTCTACTAGCTTCTTGTTCCTAGTAGCGATGCCCTTGTTCCTAGTAGCGATGCCCTTTGCTCCAGGTGACGCGTCCTATTTACGATCACTTCACCTCTCTTTGGTCCTCCGAGTTCGCTTTGCCAGCTTCGCATCCGCAAAGCACACCTGGCAGGTGGACTCATCGGAGGGCTTGGCGGCTGCCGCGCCTGGCGGAGTGAACAGCCGGATCAGGCAGGTTCAATCTGTAAAGCCAGCCCGCCCCACCGTCCACCCCCCCCAAAATAAACAACAAAATACATAATAGACAAAAACAAAACAACACCAAACTGAAAACATGAAAAACAACAAACAAACGATCAATAAACAACAATGCGATGTTTGTTGTTCGGATGCTAGGGTGGTGGTGTTTCTGTCTGGCTTTTCTACATCTTCATTGGCAACACGACTTCGGTAACGAAGACATTGTTGGATTTGATATGGTGTGATGCCACCAATAAACCAAGAGAACCTCTCATAAACCCGTGCGGACCCCGGAGAAAGGACCTGGACCCTGAGAAAGGGCTTGGAGAACTCCGGTTTACTCGGCGTGTTTGGACATGGATCTCTCATCAAGATCATTTCTACCCCCTCCTGCTCTTGCAGCCACGCCAGGATCGTCCAACCAGACTGGCTCTTCTCACCGGGGGGGTGCCTCCGACCTCCGTCTGACCACCACCAAACACCGGCACCGGACGGGCTCTTCGCACCTTGAGGGTCGCGGGACGAATGAACCTCGTTCGGAGCCGAACGGAGGGAACGTTCGGAGAACGGAGGGTTCCGAGAACCGAGTGTGGGTCGAGGGAGATCAGCTTTTTGGACCAACATCCGACTAGCGACCAAGCCAAGTTGATCTTGTTGGAACTGAAGATGGAATGCCAGGGAACTGCGAAAAAAAGTGCTGCCCAACCAAGTATTTATAGGTTGCAATCCTAACCACTGTTTTCATGCCGAACGAAACATCTCCATGCACTTCAGCGATGCACCACTTGCTCATCAACAGGATAGCCAAAAGAATGATTGTCTTTTCCAGGATGATCTCTAGAAAGAAGATGTCTCCATTGATTGATTTTATGCATGACAGTCATTGTTATAAGTGATCTCATCCGGGCTTGTCGGTACGAAGATGCTCAGACCCTGCTTCGTGTGCCCCATCGTTCGCCCAAGTGGCTGCCCATCGGAGAACCAAGAGCCTTGGCCCGGGACCCCAAAGGACAAACATACGTTCGTGTTGAGGCCTACATACCTTCGCGTCGAACACATCACCCTCGCAGAGGGTATGGAGGCCTCCATAGGGATCAAAGGCCTGAATGAGATTGATGAACATGTGTGAACATGTAACGGCTAGCATCTAGGGTGCATCCTTCCGCGGAGAGCAACGCACATCTCGAATCTACATCAATATAAAATAAACTATAACTCTCTCTCTCTCTCTCTATGTGCATACTTGCGACCCCGTGGGGGAGACAAGAGCAGGATATCATGCTGTGTTGCTGATTGTTGCCACACCACCTTGCTCACAATTCTCAGGGCGAGGGCGAGGGTGAGGATATTCATGCGTGACCGCTACAGTACCGGGGTTCTGCCTGGTGACCTGCGCCAAAGGCATGTCTGCAGGACTGTCATCACTTTAGCCCAAGCCCAGCAAGAAGTGATACGGTAAGCAGTGACAAACAGCAACTGGGCCAGGCAGTTAGAGCTGAGCAAGTGGGTCCCCCCCACTTGGGCACCAACCATGACCATGTACCAAATCAACATCTGCTGGGGTCTGACCGAAATCGCGCTGAATCTTGTTCTCGGCGGCCCAACTGGCAGAGGTGTCCGGCCTGGCTATCCGATGAACGGAGCCCAATTCAATGTAGCAAACGGACTGGCCAGGTTGATGTTCAATTGTTCAAGCGCTTGAGAACATGAACCATGGCCCATCATATCTCCTTCGACTCTAACCCACTCGGAGAACATGAACATCCTTTTCTGATATGCCCTCCAAAACAAATTCTGCAGGTACACTTTGGAAACCACACAATAAGCCATGTAATCTGATGTAATGAGAGTGTTGAGATGTAATGTGATGCTGGGGTCCCCTCCACAAATAAGTGTCTATCAAATTTTGATCTGGACGACAACAATTATCTTTCACCCACTGGAAATCACAAAGGCCTGAATCATCTCTTGTCAGGTCGTGCTCCACACTGGATAGAAGGAAAGCCACATGCTGCAGATGCTCCGCACGTGCTACACTCCGCAAGCTCTGCCTGTCTAAAACGCCCGTCAGGAACCTGTCATAGATATACATAGGCCAGGAGAACAAGTCCCCTCAAAGGCCAGTATACTGTCTGTGATTCCATATGTACACATGGTGCTTTAGTCTCCAGTCTCCAAGCGAGCAACATGCTGTAGATGTTTCTCCTTCGAATGGTGTCCGTAAAACTGCTGTTCTCCTCCCTTTGCGCAACTTGTCCACATCGCACCTCTCAAGAGCTTCAGCTCCCTGTTCTAGATCAGGGCCAGCGCCTGCAGAGGGATGAAAACCTGGACGGAGTGCGCCATGGAAACCCACCAAGTCATGTAGGTCTCCGTTGGTGATCCCTTGGATGGTTTTCTGAGATTTGCTAATTGAACTGGGGAAGATATACGTATAACAGGTTGCGTTTTTCACCAGAAGGGTATTTCCCCATAGAACATCAAACATGTTTTGGTGGGGTTAGTGACATCCTGAATCCTGTGATTGTGAGGAAGCCGTGTGGTCAAAGAGTCCTTTGTCCTGTTGCTATATATATATATACAATGTTATAGATTACTATAGCATGGTTTTGAGCTGTTTCGTACCCTCCTCCACTGCCGTGTCCATCAATCTGAATCAATCGAATCCGTCCGCTCCGCCTTTCTTGGCCTCCTCCGCGAAAATCTCCGACCCCATGGACCAAGCACCTCAGGTGCGGCGGCCTGGACCATCCATCGAGTCTCACTGAGCCACGGACTTCGGACGGAAACCGGACGTCCATGGAGAACGCTTCTCATCAAATGGGGAACGCATCAGTGGAAAAAATAACATATGTGTATATACCAGGACCCTCCAAGGGGTGCCCAATGGAAGCCTATAGGTAGTGTGGGGTAGTCCATTGGACACTCCTTGGAGGGTCCAGGTATATACACATATGCAGCAATTCCGTGGATGATCTGGGACACTTCATGTTCAGCCCTCTGAACCGAACAGTGCGATCTTTGGCCTCTCGAAGTCGACTTTCGGGGTGTTCGAAGAGACTTCACCTATCATGGATCCAAAATGGTCCAAATAAGTCCTAAATTCGTTTCAGCATTTCAGCATGCTTGCTTTGTTATCTTTGTTCACTTTGTTCTTGAGGGGTCTTGCAAGGTGCAAGGCCTTGTTGTGCCAGTTTTCATGCCAGTCAGCCGGTGAGCTGGGAAAATCGTTTGTGTCCAGTCATGAAAGGGAACTTTCTGGTGTTAAATCCTCGTTGCAATCATGCTTAGTCTTAGTGTCCACTCAAGCGTAATGCCGCAATGCCCTCCAATGAGTAAATGAGAGATGGACAAAAAGTACAAATCCCAGTCTCATCCGCTCTTCCATGGCCATCCCTACCCGTTGTGTATTTCCGATCCAGGCATCCAGCGGGTGAGGCGGGGCTTCTTCCGCCGGCCCAGCTTGGGGTTTGGGAGCTGCCACTCCTGGGGAATCCAATCCGCCGAACGATGGGGATGACGTGGGGATGACGTGGCACGGCCAGGACCCCAGAAGGAAGACCCCAATACATCCAAATACCAAGCGAGGGTGCCGAATGGTGCCATGTTCCAAAGCTCAGGGAGGTTGGTGAGTCAGAAAGAAGCAGTTCCACTAGCTTCCATGGAGTGAACGTGCCGAACTTGAAAGGAAGACCCAGTTTCCTTGGAAGACTGGAAGACCCTGTTCCACCAAAAACAGCGGGCTTGCCACTTCACTTGTGAGAGTGACAACTTTTGGAGGGAAATCTGGCTCTGCCAGGTATTCATCCGGTAGAACAAACCTGGTTGCCTATTGTATTACATACCGGTGTCAACCGTTATGAGAAGGAAGTCTAAATGTTTTGAACACACTAAAGCGGCAGAACTCTTGAGTCATGCTGAAGCTACGATCTCGTGTGCCTCTCAACTTGCATCGCTGAAAGAAATGCACACCGGGTGAGACTGTCGTCTAATTTAAGCAATAACAATTGCAAGGCGAACATGTTTCAATTCTCCTTTGTTGCACTAGTTGCACCACGCAATTTAGATCTCAAATTGGCAATCCAAGAAATGTGTCCTTGGTATATATATATATACAAATTATACAAGACACGGAGTTCTCTCCCCAAGTGCAATGCCAACTTCTGCCACTCACCTTTGAGTCCACCAACTGCGGATGCTGAGGATGGTTTCGTGCTCTTATTGGATGGTCCAAGCCAAAGTAAACTGGACAGCAATGTTGGCCCCTCACAAATCTTTAAAACCTTTAAGCCCACATCCACTGCTTTCCCCCAGTTCGACAAACAATACCTCAAAAGTAAAAGTCAGAAGAAAGGGTCAACCAGGCAAAAGGCAAACGCGCTGAGAACGCTCCCCGTCTGAAGGCTCCTTCACCAGGTCAGGGCTTCGCCACACCTCTCTCTGCTTGCGAACGGCTTTCGGCTGGAAGGCCTTTCCCAGCATACATAAATCTTTGGATGCATCTTAGATAGACAATAACCAGGGGTGATAACACTTCAGGATCCTTCAAAACTTCCGGATGAAAATTTGGATGCCAATGCAGGTATATTTGGATCATTTGCAAACCTCTACAGAACGATGTTGTAGAGTGGTACCAACCTAAATTGCAGCCAAAGAGCTTGGTTTAGCCAATCGATGCCCACCCGCACGCAAGCCAAGAGTTGTGTTGCTTTGAGCTTGTGCAGTTGCTAAAGTCACCAAATGTTCACACGACGACGTCCAAATCGCTGAGAAAAGGGAAACGCTCCCACTTTCGCAGCCAAATCACCAGCAAACTAGGACGGCAAAGCGTGTGATTTGAGGATGTGCATGCGCTCAAGAGTTTTTTGTCTGTAGCTTGACCTGACAAAACACAAATGACTTCAATTGAAAACTCAGCTCATCAGCTCAAGACCTAGCTCACCAGCCTGCCTCAAAGAGCAAGTTGCTTTGGGTGGTGTTGGCCCAAACTTCCTGGCGAAACCCCGCCCCAGTATCCCTGTCCAACGATGGAGCTGTGCGAACCACATCCAGAAACTGATGAACCTGGACTGGACTCTCTCTGTTTGCTATTGCACTTCCCAAGTACAGCATACCTGTGGTGGAACCTGGGAGTCCCAGCACCGAGGCTAAGGGGGAACTTGCAAACCCACTGCTGGGGTCTGGCACCAGAATCTAGACCTTGATGGATAACCGAATCTAATGTATGTGTGTCACGCACATGCACGTGCAACACAGCAAATGACCAGGCAGGTCAGGTCAACCACCTCTATAAGTGGTTTCTTTTCGGGGATTCGGGGGTGTTTCATCCACAAAGCAACTCAACCTCGGTCTTGGTGCAGAAGCACACCATGCGCACATCTTGGCTCCCCCAGGGCACTCCTTGTAGGGCACATCTTCCACATGTCGCGACCTCGAGTCGACGGCCGTCCGCGACCGGGGTCGGGGTCCGTCCTGTCGTACCAGGCGCTCCACACTGGTGGAAGATGGGGCAATTCGCCCAGCTGAACCCAAACCAAGGCAGTTGGCCGAATTCCTGAAGAAGCGCATCTTCTGAGCATACAACACGAGGAAAAACAGCATGATGGCTGATGGCTCGGAAAACGGTCGCCGATCCAAGGATTCTATGACCATGCGAGCCAGCCTAGCTATATCTTGAGTTTTTCTGTGCACTCGATTTCCCTGACGAGGGAAGTGCCTTAGTTCTACGTATACTTTGGAAGTCGTTGGATGGAGCAATGATGGTATGAATGCTTTATGAATACCAATCTCTATGTATCTTTTGAAACTCCCATTAGGATTGCAATGCAAAAAAATGAAAACTCCACTAGACTCTCTAGAGAGTCTAGAGATGAACAGCCATTGGAGCACTGTTAACAGGTGGACCAACGCACCACACTTGAAGAGCCCAAAAAACATTGCAAACAACATCAAGCAACGCACCTCGCAGAAAAAACTACAACGGGTACCGGGCCTTCCCTCAGGTCGGGGTGCCTGGTGAGGAGTCCAATTGGCAACTGAAATGCGCAAAGCGGACTTATCAGATCTGAATCATGGGAAATCAATGAATCATGCGATCACGATTAAAACTCTGGGTGATCTGAATATATCTGAATGAATCTGAATGATATGACGCAGGACCTGATCGCCATCTAGTGACTCTGTGACACGCATGTTGTTCCATTCTTCATGAATCATACTTCCACACTGAGAAAAAAACACTGCAGGAAGGGACTGGTCCTTTGACCACATGTCAATCTATGTCAATCTCATCCTGTGACCAGGTATTTCCAGCAAACCTGCTGCAGCATTCCATCGGAGTGGTCCTTTGACCCGTCCGCCTGCAGGCCCTCCTGCTCCTATAGCTCAACACAGTGGTCGGGGCAGGGCGGGCGAGCCAGCGACCAACAGGGAGTGTGTCTTGGCCAGTTTCCCATAGCCATAGTAGATTACCCAACAGGAAGCTTGAGTCATGTCTTTTTCACATGCGTTTATTGCTAAGCGGCTGGTCTTGGCAGCAGCTGCAAGCATCCAATGGCCATGTCATGAAAATGAATGCTCCTGTTGTTAGTTGTTTGACAGAATTGGCTCATGTTTCATCAACTTAAACTTCCAAACAAGCATTGGATACCAAAATCTCCGCCGCGACCGGTCACCGCGCCCAGAACATCTCTCCTCTGCAGCCGCGATGGCGGCGGCGGTGGCCTGAGGAGGCGGGCGGCGGCATTGGTTTCAAGAGTAGATGGTTAGTACAGTAGAGCCCCCAGATTTTCTGGGCACGGGGGGGCCATATAAACCACCCAACTTGGGGCCCACTTATGCCTTCTACTCCCAACCACAGTATATACTATAATAACAAACAAGGCTTTGCTTCACACCCTTGGAACGTCCAGTCCACGGAGAATTGATGAGAATTATCTGCGAGATCCTGTGTGAATCCAAGAGCTTGGCGACATGGTCTCCAAAGTTCATTGCCCTTATTGACCACACAACAAATTGATGGCTTCCAAATCGCCTCTTCATACCCTCTGCAGGTGTCTGTCAAAATTGAACCCAGGCCGAAGGGCACACAAAAAACACATGTGTTGAGAATACCTGGACCCTCCAAGGGGTGTCCAATGGACTACCCCACACTACCTATAGGCTTCCATTGGGCACCCCTTGGAGGGTCCTGGTACACACGTTTTACTTATTTTGCACGGAAAAACAACGCCCGTGAACCGAAGAACCACCGAAGAACACCTCCACCGGAACGTCTGATGGCAACGCCATCCTCACCTCTTTGAGGTCCTCCATGTCCAAGTCGGCT